CTCGGGCTTGTTTGCTTGTCCTCGTCCCCGGGCCAGCCCCGCGCCCTCCTCCGGGCTGCCTCAACAGCCTTTGCTTCCTGCCGTGTGTTTCTTTTTTCCCCTCCTAGGCTCCATCAAAGGTGGCTCTGTTATTGAAATATGAAGCCATTTCCTCTCCAAAACCCTTGGTTACTCAAGGCGGGAATCAATGGACCTATATACTCTCCCAGGAGTTATAAATAAATGTCTATTTGTTCAGGAGGCGTTTTCCCGCGTGTCCCAGCATCTTCCAGCGGTTTTTTTAGGGGCGTGTGTGTGTGTGTGTGTGTGTGTGTGTGTGTGTGTGTCCATGAGCGCCCTGCGCCCATCTGGTCTAATCCTGGGTATGGATCCATAAGCCAACCCCACCCATCTCGTCTGCCTCTCGCATTCCACGCTCTATAAATAAATCCAGGTTTCTGAGCTCTGTCATCCAGGGGTACAACAGTTGTTTGTCTTTTAAAGGAGATTCCAACCCAATAGCGATACTGAGTCCAGAAAACAAGAAAATATCCCTCTGACAATTGCAGCGGAAGGGCACTTCCAGTTTAGGAAGCGTTATCTGCTGTGGTCAGAACTGCCTCCCTACCTGGCTACCCTGGATCTACTTAGGGGAAACGGAGGCTAGAAAGCCACGATCTCTCTCCTACCCTTGAATTTCCCTTGTTAAGCAGAGGCTAAACAACAAAGCGAAAGTTCCGTGTCCCGGGGCGTCTGCCTCACCCCGCTGGCCCACAGATCATTTCCCAGAGCCCCTGGCCCCATCCCCTCTGGAAGCACCTCAGAGCGGTGAGGCTGCAGGAGGTGTGGTGTGGGTGGGGGCTTGTGGTTGTAGCTGTTGCTTTCCCTGTACTTGGGGATCCGAGCAGAGGGGAAAGTCATCTAAGAGCTGCTGTTTCACAAGGTCTGGGCACAGAGCTGCCCCTCCCTTCCTCCCTGAAGTTTGCATGAAGTGCACGTTAGGCTGTAATTAGGGGATCTGGGAGGAAAACTTTCCTGGTGACGCTTTGCTTTTCTTCTGCTCTGAGTGAGAAAGTGCCTCCTTCTTCTCTGGAGCAGGACCTCTGCCATCCAGCGCCACAAAGACACATTCTACACACGGACACACACATACAAACACACTCATGCGCGCGCGCACACACACCCTTGCCCAGAGACAAACTTAAGGTGAGGGGAAAGAGCTTTGGCTCCACTGGATCTCCAGGCTCCAACTTCAGCAGGACTTGGGAGCATCTGAACTTCTGGATTTCGGGACAAGGTAAAACTTCCACAATTTTTTTACTCTTTCCTCCAAACCTTGGTGCCTTTAAGATTTCAGAAAGCAATACATATCACGATATTTGTATACATTTAAATAAATTTTCTTATTATTTTCTTTTGAATTGAATATGACACCTCAATTTTTTTAGGATTCCTGTCACGTAAAATACTGTATTGCAATAAACAAGCTCAGTTGAATTGGGGTGAGGATTAACTCTAGTATCCTGGCATTTGCTGGTGCTACTATAAATCTGGTAGACGTCTGGTTTCCAAGTAGTGGCTTTTTCATCTGTATTTCAACAGGCATTTTTATAGCACCTGAGATGAAAAAAAAAAAAAAGAATAGTATAGGCTGAAGGAAATGCTGAGGAAGGGGACTGTCCATTCCAGACTTTTGAGTTATGTTTTAGGGAATCCCCCCAAAATGTATACACACTTTAACAGCTGATAGCTCAATTTTGAAAATGAAATGTATTTTAATAAACACTGCCTTTATAATTATTCAACGTGTGTGGGTATATTTTTTTGAGTATCCTATATATAGGTGTATGTGGAAATGAAAGTTATTACAATCATAGATAATGGCAGTTAGGTAGATCATCTTTGAGATGTTACCAATTTTGGTCCAGGCCTTTGCCAGTTAACTGTGAATTTAAGGTCATAGAATTATGATGCATTTCATATATTGAATATTGATGGGTAATGTTAATACACAACAATTTGTGTTATAGCTGTTAAGATTACTTTTAAAACTTGATTAAAGGAATTATGTAAGTGTTGAGACTGTTCACAACCCTAAGCAAATCTGAACTTTTTGGGGTTTAGAAGAAGTTGTTTTCTTCCATTGAATATAACTGTTGTGTTGAAAATAAGATAGTTTATTATTTTGAAAATAGATTATTTTATTCTCATTTATTACTGGAAAAATACACAAAGTGGCCAGTACATTTGGGAATTTTTAGGGTGGAAAGTGTTCCTGTACATGTTCCAGCGTGATGTCATAAAATCAAACATACTGGCTGGCTTCTTGGAAGCTAACGGTTCTTAAGAAATAAAGCCTGTGAATTAATTTCTAAGTGAATGTAATATTTATTCATTATGAATGTAGTTTCTGGTAACCATTTTTATTTGATTATTTCGGTGTACTAACTTTGAAGTAATTTTATACACACTTCAGTGACTTCAATATTTTAATGAAATCATAAAATGAGAATTTTGTTCTACCAAAAATATAGCATAGTAATTCTCCTTGGATAACTTTTAATGTAATGTTTCTTAATCTTTACATCAAGTTTTAACTTTATTTCCATTTATTCCTACCCATAAAGAAGTTTTTCCTTCCATTCTGTAAAATGGAATGTATGACAAAGGTTTGGTGAGCATTTAAGCTTTAGTCTTCACTTATTTGGGGGCTATCTGTTATTAATTTAATTGTTTAAGCTAAGAGAGAATGACTACATTTTCAGTAGTCTCTTCATAAAATTGAAGACAGCTTAAAATGGAAAAACTATATAAGGAGAAGTAATTTTGCTTCCTTTTAATTAAATGATCAAGAGAAAACAAACAGTCTCCAGAGATCAGTGGTCCCCAGGAAGAATGTACCCAGAGTCCAGTATTCCAAACAGGAGACCAGTGAGCCTGGACTTTCTATGAGAAACAAGAAAGAAGGGAACATCGTGTTCTTATAAAGAGAGCCATTTATGTCAGCAAGAGCCTGTCTCTCAAAGGAATGACTGACACTGTAATTTAGAAGTACTGAAGAGACTTTCACAGATGAATCAATTCATTATACACCTAGTGCAGTGATGGCGAACCTTTTGAGCTCGGTGTGCCAGCATTTTGAAAAACCCTAACTTAACGCTGGTGCCGTGTCACATATAGAAATTTTTTGATATTTGCAACCATAGTAAAACAAAGACTTATAGTTTTGATATTTATTTTATATATTTAAGTGCCATTTAACAAAAAAAAAATAAACAAAAAAAATGAGTTCGCGTGTCACCTCTGACACGCGTGTCATAGGTTCGCCATCACTGATAGTGGTTTCACCTCCTTTTCATCCCTTTGGGAGCAAGTAACACATCCAGGATAAATACATTCAGAGTAAGCAGAGTTTGAGGAGATGGTCGTCCTGCTTTTTAGCATCCTGGGTGTGAAATACCGGTATTTTACTGAGTAGTCAAAGAAGTCTTTGAAATCTTCGGTAGCACTGCACTTCACCTTTGTAAAGATGAACAAGAGTCATATTCAGAAAATAACTCCCCTTGCCAGAAAGTACTAATTTTCTTTTCTTTTCAAGCATGTTTTATCTTCCAAATTATATTTTTAAGATAATGGTATTCTACCAATTAAAATTCCAATAAAATACAAAACAAATTTGAAAAAAAACCCACTTTCACATTATAGTCTTCTGTTGCCTCTAGTTAGTTTTCCAACAGCCTGGATTTACTATTAGTAACCATAGTACCTGGTCTATGTTATTAAATGTACTTAGTCTGTTATTTAAAGGAAACAAAGTGTTGTTGGGGGAAATAGGGAGGGATGGAAACCTGACTATACTTAGGATTTTAATCAATAGTGTTTAAGGAGGATTAGAGGAAGCAGCTGGTTAAATAAATATTAGGTGTAGAGTGGACGTGATGGTATAAATTAATAATGCAGCTCTTTATTTACACCATGAATGGGAAGGTCTGTGACGGTTCAGTGTGTGAAGCATGGTCCCGGGGTGCCACCTAGTGGATGAGTCAAAGAAGGCGTTCACAGCAACCTACTAAAAAAAATCTGAGACTTCCATCCTGTAGACACTGCATGCAAACTATATGCAGACATTGGGGTAGGTGCTCAGAGTAAAACTACAGCAACGGACTTTCATGTAATTTAAAAACTGAGGCACCACTTAACACTTGATTAAGTTCCCGGTGGTTGCATTTAAAATCAGTTTACTCTTTGTTGGGTAATTTACCATCAACTTTCTGCCTCTATGAGGATACAGTTTAATAACTGAAACTTGCTTCTAATATAGGATTTGTGTCATGCAGAGTGGTCATGACCTAGTTCAAAAAGAGTGGGGAGAGGCTGAATCACCAATCACCTTTTTTTCAAGTGGAAATAAATTTCTGTAAAATGTATTGTTTTCAAGTTTAAAAGGGTAAATACTAGCTTAAAAGTTTAGCACACAGTATCACATATTGCTATGTACATATTCAGATTTTTTTCATTATATATAAAAAGGATAATAGTGAAAATTGCTTTTGGGTAGTAAGGTTTGCTTTTTATTTTTCCGAAATATTGCTCTCAAACTCTAAAAATTAGCATATAGAACAACTTCCTCTATACTTGTTTATTCATAAGTAGTTTTTGAAGCAGGAACATTGTTTCCATTAAATTGTCATAATGGGAAAAAAATCCTAGACAGGAACAATTACCAGGAAAGCCAGTGTTTGAAAGAAGCTCCAGGATATCATAGAAGATTAATCCATCAGAATATTAAACTGAGAGTTTTGAAAAACTTTTCTCTAGGAGATATATGAATTATTACTCCAATTGGCTCTCAGCAAGATCTATGGCTTAATGGTAATGGTGTTCAGCACATCAGCATTAATCAAGACCAGCTCTGAAATTCAGATGGGAAGGTAAAATGCCTCAGTCGGAAAAAAAATGATTAATTTGTTACTTGCTGAGTCTAGAGGTATAATCCATAAATCGGCCTGCCCGGGTGGAACGGAAGTTTCCTATTTAGGGAACTTTGGTTGTGTGTGTGGCAGTGAGAAAGAAGGAAGCTGCTGATCAAGTCACACTAGTACTATGTGCTGTAGCTCTCACTTTATACCTGGAAAATTAATTCTAACAAAATCAGAAAGTCAAAATTGATGAAAACAAATCTAAAATATTACAAGAGCCTGAGTCACAGAAACAACAAAAAAGTTCTAGGCTCATAGTTTTTGTTTTGAGAGAATTTTGAGCAGGCATCTTGAAAGTCATTTTCACTTGTTTGCTCTCTCTTAGCTGAGTGGGTAAGAGCTTTCTTTCTTGGTTGTGTGGGCACAGATGGGCCTGGGAGGGCAGCTCTGACACTCCAGGGCTCCAGGAGGGCTATGCTTCCAACAATATGTCTAGTTGGACGGACAGGAAAAGCAACAAATTCACTTACACACAGTCGCTGTCCTCCAGTTTGCAACTAAAATTCAGACTGAGCACAGAGTGAGTTAGTGCTCACCGTTTGCACAGGCACCATGCTAGGTGTTGCAGAGTCATTGGCTCAAGGACTTCACAAGCTAGTGAAGAAGACAGATGGACACACATCATGAATCACTAGTAAAATTTGCCAAGTAGGTGCAGTTTGCCTTCTTAATCTCCTGGGACTTCTTCCTTTGAACTTATCCAAACTTTCCACCCCCCTCTACCTCTTAACCTGAAACTCCTGCTCTCCACCCTTCAAGCCAGAGGATCTGATACTTCTCTGGTTTATTGATTTCTTGACTGATTACACACGTGTGAATGAGTTTCACTCATGCCTTTACATTTCAAGCATTTTATCTCTTTAAAGTAAATGTTTTGTTTTCTGTAAAAACAAAAATTCAAACATCTGGAGGCCTAGCCATCTTTACACCAAAGGGTGTAATTAAGTTGATTTACTTCTCCATGGTCTTCAATCTCTCAGGGACTCCACTCCAGAGGGATTCCCTCAAGGCCTGTTTATAAAAAACGTGAAGGACCTTGGGTCCTGTTAACCACTGGCTCCTTCTAGCTGAGGCTGATCAACCTGTCCTTCCACCCTGCCCCCATCCCCAGGGGCATCCAAACCCATTCTTTTGAACCCTTCCTTTTCACTTTGCCATAATCTACTTTCAAGTTCTCACAGCCCTCATTACCATGTTGGGTTGCTGCCCCTGAATAAGGAGACCACCTATTGGTTGTTATATTCTACTGTTTGAGCCCTTACTAGTATGCCACCCCAAGTATCTGGGTCTAGAGGGAGGAGACAATGAGAATTCACAC